ACTGTGATTTTTGTTACTGCAACGTGTAAATAGTTGATGTTTTAGGCTGTGTGTACTGTGGTTTTTGTTCAAATAAAATAAAAAAAAATAAAAAAAAATAACCTTGATGGTTAACAGGGGCAGATAAAGTGCCACTTTCCATCAGCACCGGGGAGGCACTCTCCTTGGTGCTGAACCCTGTGATGAGCGCTCAAGTGTTGGCGGAGGAGGTGTAAGCCAGAGGAGGGTGAACAAAAGTTAAAGTGTTTGAACCTCCAGCCCAGAAGGGGGGTGGTGGTGCCAATAAGAAGGCCGAATTTGGATGCTGATGGGCGGACATAAAAGCACCACAAAATCCACCCCCTTTAGGGTCACCAGGGGCACGAGAATACCCTCCACAGAAGGGGGGGTGGTGCCGTGAAGAAGGACGAATATGAATGCTGATGGGCGGACATAGAAGCACCATAAAAACCACCCCCCTTGTAGGGTCACCAGGGGCACGAGAATACCCTCCACAGAAGGGGGGGTGGTGCCGTGAAGAAGGACGAATATGGATGCTGATGGGCGGACATAGAAGCACCATAAAAACCACCCCCCTTGTAGGGTCACCAGGGGCACGAGGTTCTGGTGGGTGTGAATACCTGTGTTTAGTCCGTGGGGGAGTGCTTAACTGTGGGGGCCCGGGGACTCACGGTGTGCAAGGTTATGGAGGTGCCACTGTTAGGGACTGCTGCTGGAGGTCTCTAGTCCGTCCTTCGGGGCTCTGTGAGCGGGCAAAGATAGGTGGATTTCCCCCTGGTCTCTCCTGGCGGTGTGAAATAAACTGAGTCCCACTGTTAGGGACTGCTGCTGGAGGTCTCTAGTCCGTCCTTCGGGGCTCTGTGAGCGGGCAAAGATGGGTGGATTTCCCCCTGGTCTCTCCTGGAGGTGTGAAATAAACTGAGTCCCACTGTTAGGGACTGCTGCTGGAGGTCTCTAGTCCGTCCTTCGGGGCTCTGTGAGCGGGCAAAGAGAGGTACATTTCCCGGTCTCCGCCCTGGAGGTGTGAAATAACCAGAGTCCCACTGTTAGGGACTGCTGCTGGAGGTCTCCTGCATTTAAACAGATTAACCAGTTTATAACGTTACTTTAGCCCTGATCAGAGCCCTGTTTTATGGGTAAGACAGCGATGTGCTGTACCCTGGCTCTCTGAGACCCTGCTAAAAGCAGTGAGTCTGCTGCCTGCATTTAAACAGATTCACCAGTTTATAACGTTACTTTAGCCCTGATCAGAGCCCTGTTTTATGGGTAAGACAGCGATGTGCTGTACCCTGGCTCTCTGGCTCTCTGAGACCCTGCTAAAAGCAGTGAGTCTGCTGCCTGCATTTAAACAGATTCACCAGTTTATAACGTTACTTTAGCCCTGATCAGAGCCCTGTTCTCAAATCGTATTTTCAGAATCTGACCCTCTGCCGTAACTCCGCTCCCCAAGGTCCTAGAGATTCGGCGATGGTACCGTTGGATGCGGGGTACGTGTAAATGGGGGGGTAGAGAAAATTCCTGAACCGAACAGAGCTTGTTATCAAAAGTTATGGATTAGTAGCAATATTTCACAATGGAGCTCTCCGGGGTGCTGAAGGTCATTAGTCCGTCGTTTGGGTGTCTGTGAGCGGGCAGAGAGAAGTGATTTCCCCCTGGTCTCTCCTGGAGGTGTGAAATAACCAGAGTCCCACTGTTAGGGACTGCTGCTGGAGGTCTCTAGTCCGTCCTTCGGGGCTCTGTGAGCGGGCAGAGAGAGGTGATTTCCCCCTGGTCTCTCCTGGAAGTGTGAAATAACCAGAGTCCCACTGTTAGGGACTGCTGCTGGAGGTCTCTAGTCCGTCCTTCGGGGCTCTGTGAGCGGGCAAAGAGAGGTGATTTTCCCGGTCTCCGTCCTGGAGGTGTGAAATAAACAGAGTGCTACATTTTGTAAATAGCAGAATACCTCCATGGCGCATAACTGCACTTTACAAGCCAGGGAAGGTGCTTCAATCCTGGGTATACATTTTGTAAATAGTGCAATACCTCCAGGGCGCATAACTGCACTTTACAAGCCAGGGAAGGTGCCTCAATCCTGGGTATACATTTTGTAAATAGTGCAATACCTCCAGGGCGCATAACTGCACTTTACAAGCCAGGGAAGGTGCCTGAATCCTGGGGTAAACATTGTTTAATTGTTTAAGTGTTTTTAAATGTATGGAACAGTGTTTTGTCTCTTTCAAAACTCTCCCGCCATGGGGACGATATTATATTCACTATGGCCGTTAATATTCCAGTGAGACGAAGTACGTCCGGTGACGGGTGTGATCCCATGTTAATTTTGTCCAAAAACCAGAGCATTCCCTCATCCCACGTTACGTTTGTTATGAACGTATCTTAAATACGTTTATTTTCTACATATCTTTGCCATTTATTGTCTTGCTTATTATAATGATAATAGTCATTTATAAATATCATTTTAGAGCACACATTTGAAATCGACGATCGGGCTCGATATCCTATGGTTAAATTAAAATCAGTAGGCGAGGCTGTAATTTAGAAGTTGACAGTATTAAACTGTGTACAGCCCTGGAGGTTTAGGGGATAGGAAACACATTGGTGTGTACAAATGTAAAACATGTAATTAATAAATGGGTGAAAATCGCTTGTGTCCATAATGGGCAGCATTAATATATACCCACATGCCAGCTCATTGTTACTGTAATTCTACTCCACTACAATTCAGAGGTTAACCTGGTATTTTTACTCCACTACATTTATTTTAGTTACTTTGCAGATTCTGATTAATGATGTGAAATATAAACAACCCTTAAATCAGACTTTAGTTACACCTGAGTAAAATTCAGTGAAGGTGATTGTCAAGTGCCAACAATCAGGCGAGATATTTGGTAGTTGGTACTTGAGAAGACTAAACATTTATCTGCAGATCCCTATAAAGTATATTCATTACTTGTTATTCTCTACTAATAGTTAATTAAAGACTGTATATAATGGCTATTTTGCACATCCCTTTCAAGATTTCATGATTTTCTAAGGTTTATTGACATATCATATACACAACTATGTTGAAGTTATGCAATGAATGAAAAACTTGGGTCACAGGTTCCTCAACAGTGCATTACAAGACATCTATCAATATGTGTGTATACCTCCACCATTAAACTCAAATTCTGCACATTTCTTATACTATCTACATACATAAGAGTATAATTAATGTGTATAATATCAGTTAAAATAAGTGCTTCAACATAGTTAACATTGCAGGAAAGCAATATATTAGACGTTAAGTACTTTGTCAGGCTTAATATTTATCTGTAGATAGATACCCCCAAAGCTTTTTTCTTATTTGAAAGAAGACCTTAACCTAAAGTATTCTTTAATGTGTTAATAAAGGTTAATTCGTTTGTCTGTTTTGCACATCCTCATATTAATATCTTTGTACATCAGGCACTAAACTGTTTTATTGTATCAATTCTACATTGAAGGGTGGAATTGACTACACATCTTCAGAAACATAATTTGCTTCAGATATACTGTAACTCATAGCAATATTGTAACCATTAAGAAAAGCCAACTGCATTAAAAACCCAGTTAACAAACACTAGGTAAAGTATTTTTCCTTCAGTAATGAAGATGTAATTCCAATGTAGACACACCTGGGGTCGCCGTTCAGTCTGTTATGCTGAGCCATGCATTGTCTGGAACGTAAAAGGGACGAAGAAGACAAAGTGAAGTGACGTACTTCCGGTTCAATGTGAAAACATTCCCAGTGCATTCCCACTACACAGCAGCTTTTTGGCATGTTAAAACTATTATTTTCTGCCTCGCTCATGAGAGTAACAGCTGGCGAAATTACAGCCTCGCCTACTGATTTTAATTTAACCATATATCGAGCCCGATCGTCGATTTCAAATGTGTGCTCTAAAATGATATTTATAAATGACTATTATCATTATTATAAGTAAGACAATAAATGGCAAAGATATGTAGAAAATAAACGTATTTGAGATATGTTCATAACAAACGTAATGTGGGAGAAAATATGTTTCTAGAAGATATGTAGAAAATAAACGTATTTAAGATATGTTCATAACAAACGTAACGTGGGAGAAAATATGTTTCTAGAAGATATGTAGAAAATAAACGTATTTGAGATGCGTTCATAACAAACGTAACGTGTGAGAAAATATGTTTCTACCTAAACGTAATTGAGAATGCAGTTTAGTTCTGTGGGAACGTAATTTTTAGGAGACAGGGTTGCACACACACACAGACACACACTAAACTTATGTCATTCCGCACATACAAATCTCTTAACCTTAATTGTCTATTGATATGATAACGTTTGGCTGTAGTTTAATGATTGATAGCACTATATTTAGAAGACAAGGCTAATTGGATGTAGTTTAGACTTTTCAAAGGGTGGTGCCCCAAATAAATGCATTATTATTTGAATGTAATGTTTAAAATAATGACTATATTACCAGCCAAAGTTGGTGAGGCACATCAACGTTGCTGATTATTCATAATCACAGAATTCCATCTTTGGTCACTGCAAACATTTAAAATTTCTCTTCTACACTAGTCCACATTGTTTACATTCAACTCCAATAGTTCATCAGAAAAAATCAGTTTCTGAATTGAAATTGAACAATGTAGGAATGTTAAAACTACTGAAACATTTATCAGTTTTAACACTAAGTAAACAATATAAGTACTAGGCGTGTGGTGCAGTGGGTTGAGCATTGGTGTTGGGATCAGGGGGTCATAGGTTCAAACCCCACTGCAGTCAGCATGTCGTTGTGTCCCTGAGACACTTCACCCCAAAGTGCTCCTGTGGGGATTGTTCACAGTATTGAGTATGTAAGTCGCTTTGGATAAAAGCGTCTAACAAGTAACATGTAATGTAATGTAATGTAATGTGCTAGCCTTCCATAATTCATACTGTGCTCAAAATAGAGAAGACCACTAACAACTGATTAAGCTGTCTCTGTCTCCTGCAGGTTTTCTGATCCTCAGACAAGGATCAAGAACTCACCATCGTCCTGCTCGGAAAAACAGGAGTTTTAAAAAAGTTAAGAAAAAGCTAAGTTTCCAGAAGTAGTTCAAATGAGTAAATATCAACTCATCACCAATGAGTGTGACGATGAAGAAGAAGTCAGTAATCTGCAGCTGAAGTCTGGCCACCTGAGACCTGAGGA